TAATTATGATTTCATACTGCAGGTAAGGAGATAGCACAAGAAGACATTAGAGAATAAAGTAGTAAAATTTTCCAGTATGTTGTGAAGGAAGAAGGGAAAAAAATCAAAATAAAAAAGAGATCCTTTAGGTCAGTGATGATGTAAAATATTTCAATAACCAGGAAAAGAAGATTTTTCAGAGTCAGTGTAGGTGAAGTCTTTCTGTATACTCCTTTGGAAAGCACTGGATTATTAGAGGCTTTCTTTGCCAAGACATTAAAAGAATCAAACTTTCAAAAATGATACATGTAAAAGGTATTAATATTCTCTCAAGCACTAAATGCAAATTTAGCAGTTAAAATGTGGTTTCCCTATGCTCTGAAAACACCTTCAATTATCAATCGCATGGTGTTGCCTTGTCCATATCATTTAACACGCGTCTTTCCATTTTCCTAGCTGTTTACTTCTGTATCTCTGACGCCCAGTGCTGTATGCCAGATGATTTCATCAGTTTTCCATCTCTTCCTGAAGTATCCATTGCATTTAGCCCTGGTCATCTTCGGTAGACATTCTTCTGTGTTTGGCCTCTGTCCTTGAGCACACAGTGTTTAGACTCTTCAGCCCTGATAGCAGGCATTCATTCTTCTGTCAGTTTCATCCACTTCCACAGTCACCACGCCCCTTCCCTTCACTGGCCTTCCACAGTCACACGCCAACTTCCAGTGCCTAGTCCTGGGGTCAAGGCCGTTTTGTTTGCCCCTGTGTATTCTTTACCTCTTTTGAAACCAATCTCATATTTCACTTCACTATTTATGCTTTGGTTTACACTTTATCAATTTGATTGTTACTGTAAGTTTACAGGCAAGGATATATTTTCAAAATCTTGTATATATTTCCAAAGTACCTACTTTAAGTTTTAAGGCTTTAGGTTAAATACTGCCAGAAAGTAAGAAAACGGCCTATATCTAAGTACGTTTTTAAAAGATCATTCCATAAGCTCCATTGGTAACTCATTCCAATAAAATACCAAATTAAATTATTGTTGAGTCTGTCTTGAGTCCATGTTGTTACAATAAATCTAAAATATATAAATATATATTCTCTTCCTGTATGATGATGGAGAATACAGATTTATCACTGACTTCAGTTAATAATCAGTCACATTGCTGTTTCCTAATGCATGATAACTAACTTTTCCTTATATATTACCTATTTTTTTTTTAAATAAATGTAATCATGTACATTTTAAACTTATTTTCAACCTATTAAGTTAGTATGAAGGAAAGTATTAGTCCATTCAAATCATGGGGACGAATGGATTTTGAATGACCAGTAATAAAGGAAAACCTTACATGCGTCTCATCTTCTCTCACTCTGTTCTTTTGTGGGTGCCACATTTAAACTTCTGTTCGATTCTAAATTCTGGTGACCTATGACAAAGGAGCTCTGGTAGCATAGTGCCTAAGGCACTTGACTGCTAACCAGAAGGCTGGTGGTTCAAACCCACCAGCCACTCCTCGGAAGGAAGGTTGGGCAATCCTACTTCCGTAGTGATACTGCCTCAGAAACCCAAGGAGGGGTCGCTATGAGTTGGGGCCGACTCGACGGCAAATAACAAGAACAACATGACAAAGCAGAAACAATAGGTCAGGATTTAATAGGCTCCCTCTCCTGTAATGCAGGACTCACGTTTAACCAATTATCTTTCAGTCTGCAACATTTGTAACTGTGTCATTCTGCAGTTCATTAGCAGTACTGGAAGGCTTAGAGTTGAATGAAGGCATCCATAACCCAAGCGGAGAAACCCCATGTTTAAAGGCCACATGAGAGAGTAAGCTTTATATAGTAAGGACTGTAAGTGTCAAGTGAAATCCTGCTAGTCATTTTATGAAGTAATTTTTAGAAGATAGAAGTATGCTACTGGTTCAGTCTGTTTTATTGGTTATTTTTAGTTTAAAGTCCACACTAGAGCTAATATGATTCTTTAAGAAATACTTCCTCTCAATAATATTTCATGTTGTGTAGTGGATTTTATTTGTTTTGATATAAAATAACTATTCTGTGTCATCCAGTTACAGTGCAGGAAATACACTTCTTGACTCCTACATTTTATTTCTTTAGGGTGGAAAATCTAAATTCATCTTTGTTAAATATTTTAACAAAACTATGGTACATTCACACAGTGGAGTACTATGCAACATTAAAGAATAATGAAGAATTTATGAATTATGTCACAACGTGGAATTTGGAGGACATTATGTTGAGTGAAATAAGTCAATCCCAGAAGGACAAATATTGTATGAGTCTGTTGTTGTAATAAGTCAAAGGTTTACTTGTTGTTGCTTGCCATTGAGTTGGCCCCGACTCATAGCGACCCCTCCTTGGGTTTCTGAGGCAGTATCACTACGGAAGTAGGATTGCCCAATCTTCCTTCCGAGGAGTGGCTGGTGGGTTTGAACCGCCAGCCTTCTCCTGAGCAGTCAAGTGCCTTAGGCACTATGCTACCAGAGCTCCTAAAGGTTTACTTAGGGAAGGAAATTCACTTTGTTGGTTACTGGAGATGAGAGGAAAGGGCAGGGAAAATTTCGGACTTCTTGGGGATCATGTGTTGAATTGGGTGAGGGGAGAGACAGTATGGAAAGAGTCTGTGACCAGCATGGTGACACTGGGGTGAGGAAGGATGCTGAAACATATGCATAGGATACAGACAACCGTGGCACATACTACTTACTAGTCCATGCACAATGCTGCATTACCACGATAATCTTATGTATGCATCTGTGCTATAAAATGAGCCACATACATTACAGAAGCGACAGAAGACAGAGTCGGAATAACTTCTCAGAGACAACCAAACACTTCAAGAGAGAGAGAATCCCCATCCCTGTAGACTTGGGACCATAGTCTTGGTACATCAAGGTCAGTTGACACCATATAGCACATAAAAATCTTGTTCTACAACCTACTTTGGTGAGTAGCGACTGGGGTCTTAGAAGCTTTCGAGCGGCCATCTAAGATGCAACTATTGGTCTCATCTCATCTGAATCAAACAACAGTCAAGAAAATCAAAGGCCTCTGGAAATGTTTAATTCAGGCATAAGATGGATCTCAGCCTTCACAACACCAAGACCAGAACTAGATGGTGCCTGGCTCCCAATGCCAACCACTCAGAAAGGGATCAAAACTAGAGATCCTGGATAAAGTAGGAGGAAAAAAACAAATTATGTGCAGTGATTTTCTTGATGGCATGACAGATTAGTTTATTTGCTCATTTTTGCACTTGGTGATCTAAAGCCTTGGTTTTTCAACTCAGATTTCTGTTTTTTGATTGTCATGATTATGGCATATGTGTTTGAGGATGTTACAGTAATTGGTACATGGGTACAATAGGTTTGAGGATGAAACTGGTGCATGTATCGAGTATAGTAGATGAGACCAGCTAATTTTTCAAATAAGCCTGCTCTAATTGTGTGGAAATTTGGGAAGATCCAAATCTCAGCACAGTGACTTTTATCTGGTAAATCAGAAAACTGAAATACAATCAGTTGTATTATTGTACCTTGATTGGAGAAATACTTTTTTTTTTTTTCTTTTGGCCAGAGGAAGGTTGCTGGACATAAAGGGAATTATGAGAACACAGATGTATCAGTGTTTACCCAACATGGCAATGGCTTTGGTTGATTTTGGGTTCTAAGGGAGAGAGACTGAATCTGATGGTCATGAATAGCAGTCATTAGGGTGGTTCATTGAGTCACTGAGCTGTGGGTCGTTGCTACTGCTTTATCTTGGCTCTTTTCCCCACTATTCCATCAAACCCACCCTCACCAAGATCATTAATGAACTTGCCCCTAAACCCAGTAAGTGGCTGCTTATGGTGCTCACAGCATGTGACTTCTGGGCAGCATCAAACAGAGTTGACACCTTCTTCCTTCCTCTTCTCCTAATATCTCAACCTGTTTCTTTCCAGATCTTTTTTCCCATACATGCAGTACAATTTACAGAATTGGTATTATACCATGTATATAATTTTATATCCTGCTTACACATTGCTTTTTCACATGACTTTTAATGGCCATTGTATAGCTTTGCCATCATTTTAAAAATAAAAAAATATTAGAAAAAGAAACATGATCATTTTAAAAAAACTTAGTGCCATAATACAGTAAAATCTTGTTTTCAAAGCATATCTGAGAAAGTGAGAAAGTAGTAGATAAGAGTCACACAGTTTTAAAATTTAGTTATCATTGAAAGACTAGTGATGGACAGCATTGAAATGAACAAGAAAAGATGGACCTTAAGTCGTTGGACCTCTCTCTGTTTGTTTTCTCATCTATGAGATAATGGGGTTGGGCCATGATCTCTAACATCTCATCCAGTGTGACATTCAATGTCTGTGTCAAATTGTTCTCTGGACTGTATGAGTTTGTGCTAAAATGGCTATGATTATTATAGATTAGATTGTAGATACATATTAAAATTGATTTCAAGAATGCCCTACTTACTACTTTATTATATTGTCTGTCATGTGGCATAAGTTTTGTTCTGGTAGATCCAAATGCCTATGTTATGAATTTATCTTAATTTCTTTTATTTGTTTACATAGACTTGTGAGTGCATAATAGCTCATAAATGATTTTTATTTGCTGTTGAAGGAACCTTACCTGTAGTGATTAGTGATCATGAATCCATGTTTTTGAATATGAATACAGGAGAATACAGAGTTGTAAAACAGTATAAGTACCAATATATTCAATGTATTTTGTATGTAACAGTATATTCAGTTAAAAGTATTCTCATGGTTTGGTCTCAAATTAAAATTGTACATCTTTTCACCATTGAGTTCAGCAGCTTGTGGTTCTTGATCCTTATGCTTTATGGGGATCCTGGGTTGTGTTTCTTTTAGCTAAAATTGCGTATTAAAAAAAAGGCAGATGAAAAATTGTTCCACTAGTGCATTCGTTTAGTTAAGAATCAAGTCAAATACTTTATTTACTGAATCCCATCTGTACTTATTTTCCCAGTAACATATTTGGTCTGCGGCCTGTGGATTACACAGACAGAGAAAATATGAAAGCACTGTTGCTGCTACCAGAGAAGAATGCCTCATCGTCAGCTAGCCATTGCTCGGCTGTAAGTATGGATTTAGCTTTGGGACATTTGTATCTTTTATTGTAATTGGTTCTGAAAGGAACATAATGGAAAAATTTCCAGTTAGCAAATTGCTTTCAGTTGCCAAACAATTATTGAGTACTTCCTGTTATTAGTCAGTGTGGATTCAAAGATATAATAACAATAAGTCTATCAACAAACATTTACTAAGTCCCTAGTGTATTTTAGGCAGCGTCTAGCAATCCTGACTGACAGATAGGGCCATGAGTAGACTGACAGAACTCCCTATTCTGAAGGAGCTTACATTCTAGTGAGAGGTAGGAGAGAGACAAGACTGTAACTATGTAAACTCATATAAAAAAGAAATTCAGGGAGTGATTTGAAGAGATTTTGTACAGTATAGTTGGGTGGGAGGAGTAGGCTTCTGAAGAGATACATGTGTTAGCCACGGTTGTTGGGGAAAGGCCTTTAAAGACAGATTTTTGAGTCAGAGCCTGAGTGATGATGGGGAGGCAGCCATGTGATTATCTGGAAGACAGATGTTCAAACCAGAAGGAATACCACTTGTATAGGCCCTGCAGTGGATGAACTTGGCATGTTTTAAGATTACGAAGAAGTTGTTCTTGCTGGAGACTAGTCTAAGAATATTGGGAAACCATGGAGGATTTAAAGCAAGAAAATGACATAATTTGATTTATGATTTAGAAAGTTCACTCTGGCTGCTTTGTGAAAGATGACCTATAGGATGTGGGGCAAGAGAGGAAACAGAGATCACTTAGGGCTGTCACTGTGACAGGAGAGACATACCTTGATCGCATGGAATAGAGGAATAGTGGTGGAGAGTATATATTTTTGAGTTAATAATAGGGCTTTTCTAATGGATTAGTTACAAAGTGTGGGGGAAGAATGGAATAAGTAGGTCTGTAGTAATGGAGTAATAGTAAGTGGTGCCATTTGATTCCAACTCACAGCCACCCCCATTCAGTTTCTAAAGCTGTAAATCTTTATGAAAGTAGATAGCCCCATTTTCCTTTCATGGAACAGCTGGTAGGTTTGAACACTGACCTTCTGGTTAGCAGCCAGATGCCTCATCCACTGTAACACCAGAGCTCGTTTTTGCTACCACAGGGAAGGAATTAGTAGTTCTCTTTGCCAGCTTTATGCATATGAGGCACAGTTTGAAGATGTTGAGTATACAGTTGGATATGTGGTCTGTAGCTTAGGAGGGAAGTACAAACTAGAGATATAAAGTAGGAGTTCCTATTCTTTAGGCACCCCATAGCTTAGTGGGAAATAGAAGTATAAAGAAATTTTCTTATACATTGTAATAAATTTATAACAGGAGCCATAAAAAATGCAGGAGAAGCATAGAGAAGGGAGAAGCTAACTTCAGTAGGGATTAGGGGGAGCATCACAGAGATAGTGACAGAGGAGGGTAAAAGCTTAGCAAGGAATCTAATAGATTGCATTTGGTTACGGATAACAGAAAACTTAAAGAATTTCTTATGTAATAGCTAATCCCAATGTAGAATAGCTCTGCAGTTAGTTAGTCAGCAAGTAGTGACTGCATCAAGGACCCAAGCGTTTCTATCTTTTTGTTATGCCATCCTCATTGTGACAGCTTTGTCCTCACTGATCGCTCCTCGTGGTTATAGGATGATTGCCACAATTCCAAAGGTGATTATGCCTGCTGAGAAAGAGAGACCAAAACTGCTTCCAGAGATCTTCCAGTAGGACTTCCCTATACATCTTACTGGTCGGAACTAGGTCACACATTTGGTTTTGCCATCCCCTCAAATTGGGAATTGGGTCAGTCCTTGAAGGATGGATAACTGAATGAAATTGGGATACTTTTAGTCTGGAGGAAATGAGGACTGGACTTTGAGTTGACTACCATTACCTACTGCACCCAAGTTTAAAGGGGGAGATGGCATTCTAAATCTAGGGAACAACTGTTTGGAGACAAGAGCATAAAGGACCTTAAAATTGGAGAAACTAGAGTTTTGGTGTGAGAGGAGCAGAAGATATGTTAAAGGGGAATTGAAGCTAAAGGACTGGTTTGGGATTAGATTGTGAAAGGCCTTGAATTTCCTAATAAGGAGGTTGGACTTTTATTTCCTTAGTTACAAGGCTACCTGAGTGTTTTAAAATGGCATGGTAGTGTGTAGAGGGAAGTTAGAAGTGGGAAGGGTAGTTAGGAGGCAGTTGTAATAAGAATCCGGGTGAGAGATGGAGAAGACCGGAGCTCTACATACTAATCTTGATGCAGATAGAATAGGAGGAGTTTTATAGATATTGGTGGTAGACTTACTGTATTTTACTAATAACTGTTCAGATGGGAGAAAGTGAGAGAAAGGGTTGAGTTGAGATGTAGGACCATAAAGAGGCATAGTGAGGCTGCTGTTTTAAGATAAGGATGTAACCTAAGGTAGTTACAGTTTGATGTGGTCATAGGTGCGTCATGGACTACTTAATGTTTGTGCTTTGAAAATTCTTTGCTGCTCTGGACTTCAGCCTTGTAAGTTGCCCCCAACTATAGTTTTGGTGACAGACTGGAAACAAGCCTAGTAATCAGCAGTTCCGTTTCCTCCTTTCGCAGATTAGAAAACCAAGACCAAAGAAGATTGTGATCTGTCCAGGGCTAACCAGCCATAAAGTTGAATGGACCAGTTAGACCTCAGATTTGTTAAATCTTAAATCTGTACTTATTCCATCTCACCATAAATAGCAACTATAAATCAACACTATTTTATTCATTTGAACTTGAACTCTCCTGGCAAGACATCATGTAACAGAGTTATCTTTTGCCAATGTTCCTTTTATTTAAAAGCTGGAAAAGGAATATTTTAAATGTTTCAAAAACCACAATATTTTTGATGGCATTCTTGGGAGTCTGAGGATGACAGTGCCCTTCAGAAAAGAGCAAAGCAATCATTTTCTTAATTTTGCTCTCCAGCTACCTTTGTGTTTCTATACAATTTAAGAAACTATACTTTTTGCATATGATAGGGACACAGCCTATGAGCATCATTATTTACTCTCTATATATACTTGCCTGAGGAAGACTATGGAATACTGAATGATGTCAAGGTCTTCTGAATTGAAAGAGTATCTCTATGTGTAGTCCTTAAAATGGAAGCTCTGGAATCTGCCTTCTTCCAGCTGCTTCCAAACTCCCATTCATTCATTTTTTTTCCAGACGTATAAGCCACCTTGCTGTTTCTTGACTCCACCAAGCATGCTGACAGTTCCTGGCCTTTGCACCAGCTGTTTTCTTTATCAGGTGTAAGTGTAGGAAGGCAGATACCTGAGACAGGCTTGCTTCCTTCTGCCACGTCTTGCTCCAGTGTCATCTTTTGCAAGAGGTCTCTGTACCCTTGCACATTAAATAGCAGTCTCCAAGTCTTTTTTTTGTTGTTGTTCTTTAACTTTTATTGTGATTTGGGTGAAATTTCTCTCCAAGACTTCTTATCCCCTTACCTTTAATTATTTTTACCATACATATACCATCTGACATCGTGTATTTTTGTTTATTCTTTCTTTTTCTTCTCAGCTGGAATATAAAGTCTGTGAGAGCAGGGGCTTAACTCTTATTTAGAATAGCCCCAGCACCCTGAACAATGTCTGGCTTATAGTGTGTGCTTAATAATATTGATTCATAAGTGAGGACTGCAGTGCCCTTTATGATATATTTTTGCTCTGGGAACAAGCATATGTGCTGGGTTACTAAGACTAAAATCCTTCGTATCAGTGATTATTGCCAAGCTATTCTGAGGAGCTGCTCCAGGGAACGTCATGTATAAAGGAGGGAGTAATAAGTGGGGAGGGTTGGAATTTGTCTGCTCCCCTTTTGATATTTTTTTTTTTTTCTAAATACATTTCAAGTAAAGACTAGTGAGTGGTGTTTGGAAAGCACTACTTAAAAAGTGTACTCTTAAGTTGTTAGGTGCTTTCGAGTCGGTTTGAACTCATAGTAATCCTATGTACAACAGTGAAATAGTGTCCAAGCCTGTACCACCCTCACAGTTGTTGCTGTGTTTGAGCCCTTGTGCAGCCACTGTGTCGGTCCATCTCGTGGAGGGTTGTCTTCTTTTCTGCTGAACCTCTACTTTACCAAGGATGGTGTCCTTCTCCAGGGTCTGGTCCCTCCTGATAACGTGTCCACAATAAGTGAGATGAAGTCTCATCATCTTCACTTCTAAGGAGCATTCTAGCTATACTTCTTCATGACATTTTGTTTGTTTCTTGTGGCTGTCCGTGGGATAGTCGGTGTTCTTCACCAGCACTACAATTCAAACGCATCAGTTCTTTGGTCTTCCAGGTGGACTGGAAAAGCTGCTTGCCATGTTCATTTTGGGATTCCCTTGACCATGATCCTTTATTGACCATATTGTCATCCTGTTTATTCTTTACAGGATTTTTTTTTTTTTATTTTTGACCATTTTCGTTTGGAAAACTCATTAAGAATAAAATTTATTTAAGAAAAAGCACTATATGGCTTACTCTTTAGAGTGTGTCTAATGCCAATGTACATAACATCTAATCTCTCATTAGAATGTTGAATGCATGGATGTTTTTTGAACCTCTCTTGAGCCTCATGATTGCCAGAACTCTGTTTATTCAAATCAAATGCTGTTCCACCACCCTCACCCCAAATGAGACATGTGACTTTTGCAGCTGTTGCTTTATGTTTTTATTATTGTTTTCTTTAGGTGCTGTCAAGTTGGCTCCGACTCATATAGCAATCCTACAAACATTTCCCAGCTCTGCCCTATCCTTACAACCTTTGCTATACTTGAACCCATCATTGCAGACATTGTGTCAGTCTATCTTGTTGAGAGTCTTACCCTTTTTCACTGACCCTCCACTTTACTAAGCATGATATCCTTCCCCAGGAAATGGTACCTTCTGACACATGACAAAAATAGGTGAGACGGAGTCTGGCTATTCTTGCTTCCAAGGAGCATTTCAGCTGCATTTCTTCCAGGACAGATTTGTTCTTTCTTCTGGCAGTCCATGGTATTTTCTGTGTTCTCCAACAGCACAACTCAAAGGCATCAACTCTTCTTCGCTCTTATTCATTCTACAGCTTTCACATGCATACGAGACGATTGAAAATACGATGGCTTGGATTAGGCTCACCTTAGTCTTCAAAGTGACATCTTTACTTCTTACCACTTTTAAGAGTTTTTTTGCAACAGATTTACCCCTGTAGTATGATGTCTGATTTCTTGACTGCTGCTTCTATGGGTGTTGATTGTGTATCCAAGAAAAATGAAATCCCTGACAACTTCAGTCTTTTTTCCACTTAACCTTATACTGCTGCTTATTGGTCCAGTTGTGAGGATTTTTGTTTGTGGATCTGGTCTCCTAACTTTTGAATTCTCTTCTGTATTTTCATTGTTTCTTGGGTTTGAGGGTACAGGGTGAAGAAGTACTTTACTCAAAGAATCTGATATTAGTCCCTGTTTCTGAAAAGTAACTTTGAAACTCTTGGAATATCCTGAGTGACTGGAATATTTTTCATGTTCATGGAGGGCACTAGACAGGTTATGCTAAAAGAAACTGACTCATGGGAAGAGCTTGCCATGGGATATCTGCTAGATTCTAGACTTTGGGATTAAGGGAGAGCTAGAGAGTGAGTTCAGTCACATATATGACCAGTGATTGTATGGATGTATGGACCATGACTATAGGATGAAAACTCAATTAAAAACTGGACACTGAAGCATGGGTGAGCTGTCTGGTTGATGGTAGACAACAGTGCTCCCAGACGATAATGCTTCCTTGAGAACGTGGAAGTGCTCCATGTTGGGGACCCCACCAGACCTCCCCCTGTGAATCTCTTCTTTTGTATCTTTTTTGCTACAGTGAAATTATGATTGTTAGTTCAGTGCTTTCCTGAGTTCTGTTAAATCATTCTAGCCAATTACTAAGCCTGAGGGGATAGTAGGCAGGTTAGAAGGGCAGCTATCCTGATGACCCCTGAACTTCTCCTGGTATCCTGAGTGGGTAGTAGTTGTTAGTTGCCATCAAGTCAGTTCTGACTCATGGTGACCCCCTGTGTGCAGAGTGGAAATGCTCATTAGGCTTTCTGAGACTGGGACCTTTGGAAAGCAGTTAACCAGGCCTTTCATCTGAGATGCCTATTGGTGGGTACAAACTGCCCACCTCTAAATAGTAATTGAGTACTTGATCATTTCTGCCACTTAAGGACTTCATTGAGGGAGTAGTAGGAACTCCTGGATTTGTAGTCAGTTAGTCTGAAATGTGGCTGGCTGGGGAACCCCCAAACTTGTGTCTGGTGTCTGAATCCTTAGGCAGACCTGGCAGTCTGAGGGACTCTGTCCTCTCAATCATGAGACCTGAACTAAGGGTGCTGAGGTCAGAATAGGGGCTGCATTAAAGTTAGTGTCCAAATACAACTGAAGTGATATTTAGAGAGGTAGCTATCTTGATGTTAAAAAAAAAACATGTTTTCTATTTTTGTGGTCACTACTATTTTCATAATCTTAAGTATTCTAAGACTGATTTTTCATCACTAAGATAATCTTAAAATAGCGTAGAGCCTAAGGCATTTGACTGCTAACCAGAAGCTAGTGGTTCAAACCCACCAGCCACTCCTTAGAAGGAAGGTTGGGCAATCTACTTCTGTAGTGATCTGCTTCGGAAACCCAAGGAGTGGTTGCCGTGAGTTGGATCCAACTTGAGGGCAGTGGGAAGGAAGATGGGGTAATCTCCTTCCGTAGTGATACTGCCTTGAAACCCAAGGAGGGGTCGCTATGAGTCGGGTCCGACTCGACGGCATATAACAGCAACAACAAGACCAGGTTAAGGTTAACGCCATTGGAATAAGTTAGCAGCACGGGGATAGGAAATTGATAATTTGGGAATTTTAGGTTACTTGGGGGGAAAAAGAAAGGCTTAGTAGTTCCAGAATGAAGTTGTACATCTCTAGAGAGATCCAAATTAATATCAAAGAAGCAAGATGTGCTGGGTATAGAGAGCTATCACAAATAATGTTATTTATTGGGGGAAAAATAAAGAAGTAGAAAAATAATAAATGGAAATTGTTGTGAATTAGTCGGTAGAGTAAGCTACATGATGACACTTAAGCTTCTATCAAGTAAAAGTCAGTTTAATGCTTTTCTCTGGACTTTGAGCATTTGTAACACTGTGGCTTCTTTTTCATTAACAGATGAGCACAGGTCATCGCAGGGATAGGCCCCTTGTGCTTATAGGCAGTGGCCTTTCCTCAGAACAACAGAAGATGCTCAGTGAGCTTGCAGCAATTCTCAAGGCTAAAAAATGTGCTGAGTTTGACAGTGCAGGTGAGGAATTAGATGTTTTGTTTGTTTGTTTATTTTTTAGAAGTATTAACCCCTTTAGAAAACTCCTTTTGTTAATGTTTTAGACATTGGGATATGACTATATAATATGCATTTTGAAATAAATTTAAATTATTTGTGTAATTATAAATTACTTACTTATTTATAATTATACAATAAGCGTTACAAGCATAATGTGGTTAGAAAACTTGAAGTTCAAAGCTTTCCATATGTTTTAGGACAAAACAGTCTTCAGAAGAGCAAATTTATAAGGTTGCTAATGACAAATAAATTGTAGTGCGGTGTTTTCTAAAATTGTTTATAATTTGAAAATAAAAGAAAAAAAATCCATTTAGTAATGTGACTTTAAGATTTTGGTTTATGGTCTGACTTTTCCTGTTGATGGCCAGGTTATAGAATGATGCTAAATAAGTCCCGTGCTTCATTGTGAAAATTGGCTGCCTTTGGAGTGAATTCAGGTATTAGTTTGTAAAATATAGTCTGACTCTGGTTATAAAGATAGGTTAGCTGGTTATAAAGAGCAGGCTACTTAAAGAATTGTTTTATGTCTCTGCTTTCCTTACTGCCTCTTTTTGTATTCTAGTGACGCATGTCATTGTTCCTGGTGACACAGTTCAGAGTACCCTGAAATGTATGCTTGGGATTCTTAATGGATGCTGGATCCTAAAATTTGAATGTAAGTTTTTGGATTTGGGAGAATTACAAAATGAATTGGCTAATTTCACTTCTCATAGTGCACTGCTGCCAGTAATTATTTAAAGGATTTATGCTAATTTTTCTTACCTCTGGTTAGTCACTGCATTTTGAAAAGCTACTAATATTAGTGGTATCGTTTAGATGTCCTTGGTAAATGTCTGCAAATATATTCTGGTTTAACAGCTCTTTTCTGCCATGCCAACTATTTTAATAAAGAGTAAAACGATTTATATAGTAGAGTGTTAAGCCTGAGCAATCTGTATTATTGTTACATGATATTAAAAAAAAAAAAAATCCAAACCCATTGGTCATCAAGTCATTTCCTACTTACAGCAGCAACCTTATAGGACAGAGTAGGACTGCCTCACCAGGTGTTCTGGTTACCTAGTGCCGCTGTGACAAGAATATATCATAAATGGGATGGCTTGAACAAAGAGGAGTTTATTCTCTTACAGTTCGAAGGCTTTTAGTCCAAGTTCAAAGTGCTGGGCTCAAGGGGCTGGGTAAAAGCCCCTCAGCCTTGGGCTTCAGCTCTGGCTCCTGCTCCTGGCCCACTGAAGCTAGAGGTTTTTCTTCACTCAGACAGATGCAGGCTCCTGAGATTGCCAAGCCCAAGGTTGACAAGTAAAAAGGCACAGTCCCCATGTTACCAAACCACACAGCAGGCCATTAATTCAAGTCCATTAAAGGTCCCAAGGTCGGTAGACCATGGCAAGCTGCTGAACAACAACATGGCTACATTCAGGGTTCAAGCATTGTATAAGCTAGAGACCAGTCCCCAAGCTGCTTCTTACATATGGAAAGCAAACCACTCACCCAAAGCAACTACACAGCTGCTTGTGGTAGATCCCACCATGGAGTTGACTGCCAGTCTCATCATGGGGAATAACTACCACCAGCTGCCCAGCCTCTCAACCAGGCCCAGCCAAGTTGACACACAAACTTAACACCAGGTTTCCAAGGCTGTAATATTTCTGGAAGCCGACTGCCCTGTCTTTCTTGTGCAGGACAGCAGCTGATAGGCTCAGACCTCCAACCTTGTGGTTAGCAGCTGAGCTCTGAAAAACTGCACCACTAGGACTCCTTTATATGTTTAACTTCTTAATAAACATATGTTGTAAACACACTGCAGGCTAGGTGTATGAAATGGAAGTAGTTTTTCTTTCAGTGGTTTTTAAAAATTTACCTGCATAACACCCTTTTGCTTTCTTAGCTAATCCAGTATATTTTAGGGAAATTTAGACTGCCTTGTTCTACTTGATTCAGAGTGACTTACACTGTAATTGTTATGTGCCGTTGAGTTGGACCCAACTCATAGCGACCCCTCCGCGGGTTTCTGAGGAGGTATCACTACAGAAGTAGATTGCCCAACCTTCCTTCCGAGGAGTGGCCGGTGGGTTCGAACCACCAGCCTTCTGGTTAACAGTCCAGTGCCTTAGGCACTACGCTACCAGAGCTGTTACCTAGCCCTCCGCTGGGATTTTCCCCGTTACTCCTTTCTTAGTCAGACGCTGCCACCACCGTCAGAACTGCTCATCTTCACCCTCTGAGCTGCCTGCCTTCATCTTCCCTACTGTCGCTGGTTGCCTTTCTTAACTTTGGACTCACTTTTTCTAGGATTTAAAGCAAAATAAAAGGAAAGCTCATACAGGGTTATCTTCTATTCATGAGTAGCTACAAGGAGCTCTGGTAGCACAGTGCCTAAGGCATCTGACTGCTAATGAGAAGGTTGGCAGTTCAAATACACCAGCCACTCCACAGAAGGAAGACTATGCAATCTACTTGCGTAAAGATTTACTGCCTTGGGAACCCAGCAGGGGTCCCTGTGAGTCGGAATCAACTTGATGGCAGTGGGTTTGGTTTTGGTTTTTGATAGTAGCTAAAAGATCTTTTGATGAGTTGGCTAAAATAGGACATTGAAGTGGCCTTTTTTTTGTTGTTGTTGACTAATTGTTTAGAAAATAATAGTGGTTATAAAGGAGTAACATGAGGGAGGCTTGTGATGGTAATAGTTGAGTATCTTGATCATGGTTACATAAAGCTACATGTGTGGTAAGATAACAGAGCTACACATACATACACAGAGCACAAGTACACGTGTCACTGATGAAACCTGCCCCATGAATTGTACTGTGTCAGTTTCTTGGCTTTCATAGCAACACACACATGTACCACACACAACACGAGTGCTTGTATAGCTGGTGAAATGGAAATGAGTCCCGTGAATTACACCAGCGTCACTCTCTTGGCTTTTATATTATGCTGTAGTTGTGTAAGAAGTTCACACTGGGGGAGACTACAGGAAGGTGTATGGGCCTTCCCTGTACATTTCTTTACAATCCCCTGTGATTCTATAATTATTTCAAAATAAAAATGTTTTAAAAACATATGAGCATTTTTAGTGAAACTTTCTTTTTAAGAAGAAAATTATGGATTAGAATTAGTTTTTATAAACTTTGTTTTATGGCTTTGTACTTGGAAGGTTTTATGGTAGAAATGCTTGATTTATCAAGATTTTCATTATATTATTAATTTAATCTGCAGTTTGAAGTTGATTTGGTTTGTAAAACAGTTTCTGTTCAGCAATTAATATTCATGTCCTGTTTAAATGCAGCTACCACTTCTTTTCTTTTGAGGCTAGTCCCCACTGCTGGCTGTCTGATCCAGTAAACGCCTGTGATGAGCAATGCCACAGCATCTCTTCTCATCAAACTGTTTTGGTGCTTAGAACAAAGTTTTGTTTTTTTTTTTAATTTATATTTTAAATTTTGTTTTATTGTTGAGAATACACATAGCAAAACACACACCCGTTCAACAGTTTGTACGTACACATTTAGTAACATGGTGACATGCTTCCAGTTGTACAGCCATTCCTACCCTCCCTTTCTGAGTTGTCCCTCCCCTATGGACATAAACTCGTTGCTCCCTCAGGTGGCTGTCTGATCTTTCAAATTGCTCTTACCCGAAAAGAGCATAATGCTCGAGGCAGCCATTCTGCGCTAGTTGAGCTTAACTGTTGTTTAGTTGTAAGAAGACTTCATCAGTCTCTGTCATTAGTTCTTCCCGGTCATTACCAGTTTAAGAAGCATGATTAGCAAGTGGACAGATAGACTGCTCACATTTAAAAAAAAAAAAAAAAAAAGTGTTTCCCTGTATCTCACTCTCTTATTTTTGTACCTTCTTACCCTTTCAAATCTATGGCAAATCTTACTGAGCCTTGATGTTAAAAAATTCATTTAAAATAGTTCCATGATTATAGATGCTTTTGTACTGAACCTGTGCTTGGAAACCTTGAGAGTGATTATGGAAAGGAATAGATTTTCATAATAATAAAGTCTCAGTAATAAAGAACCTGTGTGAAATTTAGAATGTTAAGACATTTACCACTTAACTTTGAGTCTGGTTTTCATGAATGTGCTGAACTTGCACTTGGTTACATATACAGGCTACGTGATTCATTTCCATAAAATTTTCCTTCTTTAGGGAATGAAAGTTTTGTCACTTTAATGGCTTGGGCATGTCATTTTGATAGAATCATTGATGGACTCAAGCTGACTTAATAGTGTGCTATTTGGTTATTCTCACAGTGGTGAATAATGTACTCTCAGTGGTTCTTTTAGGGTAAAGAATGGATGGGATCTTATTGAAGTTCATATCTCTGAATTTTCTAATACAGAGTCCCAAGAGAAATAGGCTTAAGGTTTGGAACAGTTACTTTAAATAGCTACTGGGATTTGTAAAAGAAAGGCAAAACCCTTCAAATAACATCTTCTCAAATATCTGTTTCCCACAGTTTCTATATTTTTCTTAATGTCACACACTCAGTTTGATTTAAAAAAATGTTTCAAATCTATTCAGAAACCATCTGAAGCACATCTATATTAAATAAAGAGGAGATAAAGCAAAGCTTTCAAAATTAGTTGTAAAAATTTATGACTTATTAAAACTTGGCCTTATATTGGAGGATATTATTACTTGCTGGGAGACAAAGCCTGAACTGGGTTACCTGTTTAGAAACTTGAATATTAACTTTTCAGTGGGATTTTCCAGAAATCAAAGCAGGTTCAATAGGAAATCATATCTATTTTTTTCTGTAATTATAATTATGTAGGATAATTGACTCATTTAAACAAAAAACAACCATTTGTATCCATTGGCTCTGAAGTTTTCTGTTTAAAAATCTTTTGTCTTAGTTGGTTATAGTGTCTCTTTTTCCTACATCATCATGTATATGGAGTATCTTACGTAGTTCATGTGTTGAGCATGTAGATTCCTGGAATAAGATATACATATGCTACCATGTCAGCATACCATTCTTTCTCACCATATATTTATCTTACGGAATTTTTGTATGATATTTTATCTTATATATATTTTACAGAAATGGAAGCTGTAAGCAGTAAAAGTTCTTTCTTCTAAGTCAGACTTGTGTGTGAGATTCTCTTTCAGCTCCAGTTTGTAGTACCAATTCCTCATAGGCAACTAATAGCCATCCTCAAACAAGGGTGATTTTGGTAATTAAAGAAGTGATTACGTTGAAGGAATAGAAGGTATATAATTAAAAAAACATTTTATTCATATCTTGGAAAGACAACGGATGAGGTAAAACTGCTTCCTGAAGATGCAAACTGCCAAATTGAAAAACCAAACCCACTTCCTTTGAGTCGATTCCAACCCATAGTGACCTTGTAAGACAGAGTAGAACTGCCCCATAGGGTTTCCAAGGCTGTAAATCTTTATGGAAGCAGATCAGAGTGACTGGTGTGTTTGAACCTCCACCTTTTGTTTAGTAGTCAGATGCTTTTACTACTGCACCACCAGAGCTCTTTAAGATGCAGATTCCAAAAACCAAAAACCAAACTCACTGCCATTGAGTCAATTCCAAGTCATAGAGACTCCCATTGAGTTTCCTAAGTGGTAAGTAATTACAGAAGTAGATTGCCCCATCTCCTTCCACGGAGTAGCTAGTGGGTTTGAACC